CAAACTGAAACGTTTACACTCATATAAATACAAGAAATAAGGAAGAAAAAAGATGTGAGCCGGGTGTGGTGACACACGCCTGTAATCCTAGCACTCGGGAGGCTGAGACAGGAGGATCGCTGTGGGTTCAAGACCAGCCTGGGCTACATAGTGAGTTCCAGGTCAGTTTCAACTACATAGTGAGACCCTGTCTCAAAAAAATAAAATAAAATAAAAAAGAAAACAAAAACAAAACACAAAAAGAAATAAAAGAAGAAAAAATGTCCACTTTAGGCTGTGTCTCTGCTGTCACCAGTAGACAAGAGTGGGCAGACAGAATCCTGATCAAGCTGGGCGTGGTGGCGCACACCTGTAATCCCAGCACTTGGGAGGCTGAGGCAGGAGGATCGCTGTGAGTTCACAACCAGCCTGGGCTACATAGTGAGTTCCAGGTCAGTCTCAACTACATAGTGAGACCCTTTCTCAAACAAAACCACAAAAAACAAAAACCAGAATTCAGATCACAGTTGATTAATCCTAGCAAGCTAGCCACAGATTTATCGAGCAGTGGTGGATAATCCCAGCAGGCCTGTACCTTAAATTCCACTGAATTTCAGGCTGGTTTCTTACTATGAGGCTGGATCCTGCAACGTTCAATATGCCTCCTGCCAGCTTGAACTTGTCTCCCTGCTGGTTTGAATAGAGCTGTTTGACCTCCTGCCAATTTGAACTTGATCCTGTCTCACCCTGACACTGGGAGCCACTAGATGGAGCCACCCTGCAGCCTCACTGAGTTCCAAGCTAAATTGGTCCCTCTCCAAGACGGTTACTGGCCAATTGGTCTTTTCTGGGGGGAATCTGAACACAAATAACTCATCAGCAACTGCAGTCTGCTGCATCCACTGCTCTGTTGCACTGGTGCATTTGTCTGTGGAGACCTCTGGGCTTGCCAATAGTCACCATGCATATGCAAGTTCCAGCCATCTTCCCCTCCAATGAGTCAGCACTCAGGGGAACGCGCCCATATGCCACCTCCTTCTGTGTTGAGCTTTCTACTTTCCTCATGGGCTTCAATTCTTGCTTGAGATCCTCACTGGGTCCCAGGGCTCCACTTCTCTTCTCTTCCTCGTGTTGCCATGATCCAGGGTCTGGACACCAAATCTGAAAGAGGTTGTTTCTCTACTGTTCACTACTTTCTTCTTCCCCAGAAATTCCCCAAGGACATTTTTTTTTTTTTTTTTTTTTTTTTTTTTTTTTACACTTGTGAGTCAGGTGTGGTGTCATTGAGCTAACCCCTACCCACCCACCCTGGACATTTTTAAAAGCAAGTACTTTTATCTTCAGGGCAGCAGGTTTTCATAGACTTCCTGTATCAGTTACCCTGGGCACCTGGAGAAAGGTAGATTCCTAAAGAATAGCCTGGACAACGTGCCCACCCCCACGTGCCCACATGCTAGTTACCAGTGGCCTTGTTATTTCTTAGCTATGAGGGTGGAAGCCATTTCTTGCGTTACCATCTTGGGTCAAATCAGTGTTTGCTTTTGGTCCCACATCACCTGTGTAGCCAGTTCCTTGTCCTAAATCCTCCTGCTGCTGAGGAACTGTGGTTTCGACTTTCCTAGACTCCCATACACCGGGATAGCCTACCTTCCTTGAGCATACAGCCGGATAGATCTTTCTGATCCTGGGACTCAGGAAGATACATGGGTACACAGTCAAACTTCTAAAAGGGGACCGTCAAATCGTTTGCTTAAGTCACAGGAAGGGATGACACAAATGACAGAGAGCCTCTATGATCCCCGACTGAGAGAGCCTTCTGAACAGCAGTCTCATTGGGCCACCTGGGACCAACAAAGTCACCCCGAAGAAAGGAATGGAAGGTAAGAGAAGCATAGGTCCCTGCGCCACCCGTGAGCTCAGGGTCCAGGCTTCTCCAGTTCCTTCTAAGACAACAGAAATACTGGCTTCTGGGGAAAAACTGGACTCTTCATCTGCTTATTCTGTGCTGTTGGAGACGGAACCCCAGGCCTTGTGCGTGCCGGCCAAGAGCTCTACCGCTGAGCTGTGTCCTCAGCCCTGATTCAAAACTTAGTTGTAATTATGAGGGTATTTATACACGAAGAAATGATAAATATCCCACTAGGGCAGGGGTGGCGAAGCTTTTAGAACTTTCACTTTTGTTTTGTTTGGTACCGGGGATGGTCCTTGTGCTTGTGAGGCAGGCGGCAGAACCACGGAGCTAAATCCCAGGCCTAAGAGCTTTCAGTGTTAACGACCTACTGTGGCACGAGTCCCATAGGCTCTCCACCACTGACATAGGGGCTCAAATCTCCAGTCTTTCTCAGCACTGGGGATCAAACCCAGCATTTCCTACAGATTAGGCAAGTGCTAGACCACTCTGCTATACTCCAAGTCCCTACCTTTTTTGTTCTTATTTTGGGACAGTTTTACTATATAGCCCATCCTGATTTCAAACTCACAGTGATCTTCCTGGTTCAGCCTCTTATGTGCTGGGATCATAGGTGTGAGCCACCATACCCAACCCAGCTGTGTTTAAAAATATCTCTTAAGTTTTTAGTGTATGTTCTGCACACCTTTATTCTTATTACATGTGTAGAACTGATAGAAAAACTTAAGTCACACGTTACTTGCAAGTATTGGTTTCCTTGGATCCAAGTCCCATGATGCAGGAGCTGTGGACACACTGGCTGGGGAGAAGTGTGGCTTCCCCAGGAGTCAGAGGGTAACGGCAATTCCCTGGAAGCCACCTCTGGGGACTAAGGGACTGCAGTCACCAGTGCTCTAAGAGAGACATGCATTACAATTATTTCACCTTCAGAAGATACTTTATAAAAATATGTATTTCTTGGACTGGGGATTTAGCTCAGTGGCACCACACCTGCCTTGCAAGCACAAGGTCCTGAGTTCCATCCCTGGTACCAAAACAACAACAACAACAACAACAACTAAAACAAAACTATTTCTCAAATGACGGCACATTTACATGTATATTTTTTTATTTAAGTCTACTGTTCTTTTCTTATAAGGCTTTTTAGCAGCTGACAGTATTTTATTATACCACCTTTACTGAATATTATGAACAGCGTGTTTATAAGCTGATTATTACAATGTTTAACAAAATTTTTGTACATCATTCTGCATACACATGAAGACAGTGCTAAGGAATTCTTGAGGATTTGTAAGTTTGTATTCACACCAGGCGATACATAAGAATGTTTACTTCCCCACTCTTGCCAAGATTAAAAAACACACCACCCACTCAAAAACCAAACCAAATCCTTCACCTTTACTGTGAAGGATGGGAAAATATACTTATATGATATTATGCATCTTTTCACATCTTTAAGAGCCATTTATATTTACTGAGAATGATGTTTCTTGAAAATACAATCTGCTAATTTTCTACTGAGTTGTTCACCTTTTTCTGAATGAGCTGGTAGACGTCACACAGAAATGAATTAGGTCTCTGGGAAGAACTGTAACTATTTCTTCCCCCCTGCTTGCCATGTATTCCAGCTTTTCTCTATGATAATTTTGTCATGCAGAATATTTCATTTTTACAAAGGCAATTTTTATCTAAAATATAGTACACACATAATAATCTATTAACTCTTTTAATCGTCATATTCTCAACATCTGCAACCTATGGTATTCCTTTGGAAACCGAACATGCTCGTATTCCCCTACTAGAATGAGAGGAAAAAGTAACCCTATGTTCTAATGATGGCACAAAACATTTATTTATTTATTGGTTCAGAGATCGAACTCCGGACCTTGCGCTTGTGAGGCAGGCGGCGACACCACTGAGCTAAATCCCCAGCCAAAACATTTACTATTTTTTTTGATACTGGGGATCGAACTCCGGACCTTGTGCTTGTGAGGCAGGTGGCAGTACCTCTGAGCTAAATCCCTGGCCCAAACATGTATTATTTTTAAAAAATAGGCATACATGGTAGGAAGACAAGAAAGATTAATACAGAAATTAAAATTTACCTCAAAACCAACTTTTGAAACCAGCCTGTGACCTCAGCACTCAGGAAGCTGAGGCAGGAGGAGTGTGAGTTCTGGGCAAACCTGAACTACACAGAGAGACTCTGTCTCAAAAAAATCCCCCAAAAAACCAAATATAAAAAAACAACTTTTGTCAGGAAGACTTCTTCAAAGCCAAGTGAAGAGCAGAAATACAGAAATCTACATAATATTGGTTTTCTTTCTTTTTGATTTGGACTATTCCAGGAAGACTTAATCAGATAACTTTGAATTTGAGGAGTTCCAACAAGGCCCATCCTAAATGTTGAATTTGCTCTTAGAAAAATCACCATTTCATGAGACAGATTTAAATGTTTCCGACTGTACCTCATTTCACACAATCATTACTCAGAGGGCAATTTTTCTTTCTGAGAAACGTCAAACTAAATTTAAAATTAGCAAAAGAATTCTACCTATAATCACCAAATCTGTATTCATGTAGATGCCACAAAGTGTGTAAAGATAAACAGAATTTATAAAATTTGAAGGAAAAAACTTTTATGACATCTAAAAGTATTGGCAAATTAAAGCTAAAATTCATGCTGGCAGTTTACTGTGTTTACATTATTAAGTGGATGGCCAAACGCCAGCAGAAATGCTAAAATGGTTGTTTGCTAAAGGTTGTTCATATTAATGAAACAAAAGATCAACAGCCTCTAAGTTAAACATCACAATATGAAATCACTGCCTTCTAACTTTCAGAAGACAGGGCAAAACCCATATACCCTACTTGCTATTTCCGCTTATAAACGCAAATAAAAGCCAGTACACAAATGATGAGGATATAAATGCGTGGCTGTTTCAGATTCCACAGTATAAGCTTTTGTGTGATACAACTCTTCTACAGTAAGTACCCAGTTTTTCTGGAATAGCAAACTAATGGAAATATGCATTTCCAAAAACTTAGTAATAAAATTTGGTTTGGTTTCTTGGGAGGGGATCTGCTAGGTACTTCAGGCTGGCCTAAACTCCAGGAGATCTTCCTGCCTCTACCTCCCCAGTGCTGGAGTTACAGGCCTGCGCCATCACACCTGGCTGCTAACTTTGCTTCTCACATCAAATACTATAGCGTGAAAAGCTACAAAAGCACAATGCTTTCAGTTATTTAGCAAAGAAAGGATGAGGGAGATGTTCTTGCGGAGACAGCCGCTCCTTCCAACCTGGACCCAGCTGATCTACTCCACGCAGCCCCAGCCTAGCTCTTAACTCCTCACCCATGAAGAATCTACTTTCCTTTCTGTCAATGAGTTTCAATCTTCTAGAAATCTGATTTAACATTGGTCCTAATCCATTTTAAATCAAAGGAAATGCTGTAACACGTAACATTTACTTAAATCACAGACAGAAATTAATTGCTTTAGTGTTACAGCACAGCACAGGCATTTCAAGTGTTCTATAAAGATAAAGGAAAGCAAGAACCTATAAATATAAATTATACATGGATTCCCTAATTACTTGCTACAGCATGATCCTGCTTGGATTACTATTCACAGAGAAGGTGAACAGAATCCCTAAAACATGCACTTCTTGGGAATTGAATGGCACTTGAAGTCTCAGGCCTGGCCAAGGAATTCCTCCATCCAGGACAGTCAAACTTACGACCTTGGCACTAGCAAGGTAGAGAGGGGCCTTGCTCACCACAGAGCTTTGAAGAAACACATCTGCTCTCCCTTCTAATTAAACACAGTAAGTGCCAACAGGGCAGGACCTAATGACAGGCCCACAGCAATTCCACGGCACAGAAAAGTGCCACCCACCCTGGCTTTCCTAGATTCCCAAACACTCTTTACCCAGGCTCTACTATGTGCACCTGCGAAACATCTGAAAGATACTTTTCTGTGAGTTGCTAGGTTGCAGGGACTGAACACTTCTAGGAACACTGCAGTGATCTCTGCTAGACTTTGGCATCTTTTGTCCGTTAACTGAAGGCCTCCTCTGGACTCTAAAAGGTTGCCAGTTCTCATCTCTTGAGCCTCTCCGCAGTCTGGGATGCTCAGTGGCAGTTTGCCTTTTGAGGCTGTGATCTCCAGACGCCTCCCTCTGTGCGGTCAGCAGTTTGCTGGGGGGCGTGGATGCTGCTGCGCGGAGCTCATACTCCTTGTGGCTGGGCTTCCTTTGCTCTTTTTCTTCCTCCTCCTGCAGCTGCAAAGCTAGTAGCCTGTCCTGTTCTTCTTGCTTATGTCTCTCAAAAAGCAGATGTTCCAAATCTATCAGTTTTTGGGTAAAATTTCTTTCTGTTTCCTCTTGATCTGGAGAGGATTTGGGGGACATTTTCCTCCTTTTCACAGAGCAGCAGGGATCCCCGGCTGCTTCAGAGGCAGGCTCCTGGTGTTTTCTTCTGGAAACATCACTGCTGAGCAGTGAGTCAGTCTCCTCATTTTTTGTCCCGATGGTGCAGTCTGTAATCCCCTGGGTCCCACCTGACAGGGTCCCCCCATTCCCTGCTTTGTCCCCATGCTTTACAGAGGGAGCTTTGGCTTCTGGTCCTGCATGATTTGTGACACACATCTCCGCATCATGACTGTCTGATCTTGTCTTGACCTTGCCTTCAAGGCACTGGTCTGCATCATAGGCACAGAGCCACGGCATCACTGAGTCCGCCAGAGACCTTGCACTTGGCTCCTGAACCTCCAGGCACATTTGTGGAGAAAGCGTTGGCATTTCTTCAGCTTCTACATCTCGCTGCACTGGGCTCTTTACACTGCTACCAGCAACTTCCTGTAGAAAACAGAAATACTGAGAGTCAAATCATAATCTATAAATCCATAAATCAGTTGCCACAGACCAAGTCACTAGACATTACTATGTGTTAACAATTCTTTTTTGGGGGTTAGGGGGCATTGCTGGGAATTGAACCCAGGGCCTTGCATATGCCTCAAGCTGTACCCCCAGGGCCAATTCTTTTTTTAAAGTATTGTTGGTGGTAGGTGGTGCACTCCTATAATCCCAGCACTTGGGAAGTTGAGGCAGGAAGATCACCAAAAATTCAAGGCCACATTCAAGGCCAGCCTGAACTACACAGTGAGACTCTATCTCAACAACAACAACAACAAAATACCATTAGCCTATGTGCCAATTTACATTAAAACACCAATTCATTTTCATTCTGATGAAAACCTACAGATTAAAATCCATAAACTGGATTCTACATATGGCCAAATAGTGGGCATAAGGACCTGATCTCCTTCACCTTACAACCTTACAAACTTTTAGTCCAGGGGTTTTGAAATCTTTTTGTCCCCTGGACCTTCCTTTTGGCATTTTAGTGAGGCTCTTTATTGACAATGTTTTTAAATACAAAAATTAAGCTACATAGCCTCACAAAGGAACACAATACTAAAACATTAAACCATAAATGCATGTAACAGTATATTAAACAGGATGTCTGAGGCAGGTGTGGTGAAACACACCTGTTAAGCCCAGAATTTGGGAGGATGAGGCAGGAGGATTACTGAAAGCTCATGGCCAGCCTAGGCTACACAGTGAGTTCTGAGGCCAGCCTGGAACACAGCAAGATTCTATCTCAGAAAAGGAAAAAAAAAAAAATCTACTAGGGAGTCCAGTAACTTGTAATATTAAAGTTATGACTATAAAAAAGTTATGACTATATTCTTATTTTTATGAAAAAATTGCATAGCAGGGGCCAGGGATTTAGCTCAGCGGTTCGGTGGCCTGCCTTGCAAGCGCAAGGACCCGAGTTCAATCCCCGGTACCAAAAAAAAAAAAAAAAAATTGCATAGCAATAAGAATAACTAGTTAATACACTATGCATCGTTAACAGCACTCAAGAATACAAAAGAAACTAAAAAGATTCTTGCAAAAAAGAAACAGATAATAAAACTTTCTTTTCAAACACTAAAATAGCACACATATTAAAATATTTTTGAAGCTGGCATGGTAGCAGACACCTGTAATTCCAGCACTTGGGAGGCGGAGGCAGGACTGCTATGAGTTCAAGGTCAGCCTGGACTACATAGTGAGTATACAGCCAGCTTGAAGTACATAGCAAGACTATCTCAAAAAGAAAAAAAATTTTTGAAACAAAAAAACCTATTTTTAGCGGGGTGTGGTGGCGCACACCTGTAATACCAGCACTCACGAGGTTGAGGCAGGAGGATCGCTGTGAGTTCGAGACCAGCTTAGGCTACACAGTGAGTTCCAGGTCAGTCTAAACTACATAGTGAGACCCTGTCTCAAAAAACCAAAACCAAACCAAACCAAACAAACCTATTTTTGAAACAAGAAATACGTAATTTGGGAAGTGTTTTGACCTCTCCCTACTTCCTATTTATCTCAGATACACACACACACACACCTTCTCACATAAGAGAAAATGTGGTGTTTGAGTTTGTGAATAGGACTTATTTCACTTACCTATGTTTTCATAGGCCTCTGGAGTGCTAGGATTACCAGCAGGCACCACTACGCCCAACTCATCGTGACAATATTAAGAGAGACTATGCACACATTATTTGGGACACAGCAAGTGTTCATTAGATACTAGGACTATGACAGGATGTTCAGTAACCACTGTGCTTTAAAAAATGAAATCACAGGGCCGGGAATTTAGCTCAGTGACACCGTACCTGCCTCACAAGCACAAGGTCCTGAGTTTGATCCCCAGTAAAAAAAAAAAAAAGCAGAACAAAAAAAGGAATCACAGGCACCAGTAGCCTGCAGCATTAACAGCCCTCCCTACGAATATCTTCATCACCAACATACCTTAGATATGGAGTTCCTCCTGACTTCCTGTCCAGCTTCAGACTGTGACGCTGATCCACATTGGGATTTAGGTGACAAATACCTTTAAAAAAATTATCAAAGTTGGAATGCTTTGAAAGATAGCTGGTATTTGGGCAATATAAGAAAGACTGACTGTTCATGCCCATGGCTATTAGCTTTCTTGATCAGCTGGTTTATCAGAGTGCATTTCCTTCCCTGGTGTAAGTTAGGAGAGGACTTAAAATTTTTTTTTTTTTACTGCGGATTGAACCAGGGCCTCCACATAGAGCTACATCCCCAGTCCCCTCCCTTCCCTTGAAATTAGGTATTACTAAATTGCTAAATTGTCTGGGGTTGGGCTTGAACTTGTGATCTTTGGGCTCAGCTTTCCAGAATACTGGAATTACAAGCTGTTTTTTGTTTTTTGAGAAAAGCTCTTGCTACATTGCCCAGGCTGTGTTCTGCCTCAGCCTCTCAAGTAACAGGGATTATACATATAAACCACAAGCTCAGTTTTTTTAAAACTGGGGCTCAAGCTCAGGACCTTGGGCTTCAAGGCAGGCATGGCACCACTGAGCTAAATCCCCAGCCCACTAACCTTTTTTTTTTTTTTTTTTTTTTAAAGAAACAGAGTCTGTGTTGTCTGTCTAGGCTGGCCCTGAACTCCTGGGCTAAAATGATCCTCCTGCCTCAGCCTTCCACATAGCTGATATTACAGGCAGAGTGCCTGGTTCTGTTTTAACTTATTTTTCCTTTTTTGTGCTCCTCGGGATTGAACCCAGTTTCATGGATGCTGAACAGTTACTCTACCATAGAGTTATAGCCCTAGTCCCTTTTTAAACTTCAGTAAACTATCAGTTTCTGAGTGTCTGTTCCTAAATTCACTGGTTTATTTCCAGTAATTTTTTATATTTATATACAGTGGTACCTCAGCTTACAAACTTCACTTGTTTTATGGTTTGGGGGAAGATGGCCATGACTGTTTTTCACTTGATGCGGAGTTTGCAAATAGAAGCATCATGAACCAAGGTATTACTGTACTCCAAAGCAGTTAGCTATATAAAGGTTCATGGGTCATATCACCGAGCAGAGTATATCAATATAAAATACTTATACTTCCCCCTCATCGCATCCCGGGAAGCAGGGATTGAACTCAGGATCTTATGCTTGCCAGGCAGGCGCGGAGGTGTGGAGCCACCGAGCTACATCCCTGGCCCCTATGCTTTTATTTTTTAACAGTTTATATTTATTAGTCCACATTGGTACCTAATGACCATATCCACCACAGTGAGCTGGTAATGTACACACATCTTAATTCTTTTTATCTACTTTCTCTTCCCTATGAAATACCTCCCAATGCTTTTTGTCTTTTAATGGTTTTGTCTTGATTTCTGCTTTGCATCCCAAACCTGTTTTTTTTTTTTTTTTTTTTTTTTTTTTTTTTTTTTTTTTTTTTTTTTTTTTTTTTTTTTTTTTTTTTTTTTTTTTTTTTTTTTTAATTTAATAGCAACTACCTCATTTAGCTCTTTCTTTCAAGTCTTCCCACTCCAATTTCAAAATTTCAACAAATTCTGGAAGGAGCTGAGTGACCCACATATATTTTCTCAGTTGAACCAGAAGCCCTTCCACGTTTTCCAAGTCTAGAAGGTGGCTCCATCTCTTATAAATTCCTAGGGCAGCCCCTATGTCCGCATAAGCCATCAGTTCTGCTAGTGATGCTAGAGGGGTACCGGAAGAGAACAGGGTCACACCACCACTGACAGCCCGATTCATGATTTTTCATAAGGTGGAGAAGAAATATGATTCCTAGGGCTGGGGATTTAGCTCAGCGGCACAGTATCTGCCTGGCAGGCGATTCCTGGTACCAAAAACAAAAAGAAATGATTCATAAACTGGGGAGAAAAGGGCAGAGGGGTATAGCAGTTATGCCTCATGCTGTCGATGAGACTGGCTTGGGAGCTGCCCAGTGCATCAGTGGAGCATCCTCCAGGTGTCTGGGCGGGACATGAAGGCACGATGCTGGGCACTGTACCTGGTTCCTCACCCCTTCCTCTTTGGCCCTGTTCCCCTGCTCTTCTTCTTGGCTGCTGCGAAACGAACAGCTTTGTTCCACCTTGCCCTTCTGCCAGGATGTTGCTGCCTTGGAGCCATCTGACTATAGCTGAATCCCCTTTAAACCGAGAACTGAATTAAACCTGTCCTCCTTTAAACGGTCAGCATTGGATACTGCATCAGCAATGGGAAAGCTGACTAACAGAGGGGGATTTTCTTAAATACCACATTTTCAATTCTTTTAGTGAAGAAGGGCCTACCTGGAGCCAGTGTTTGAATTGAATTTAAAGAATGACAAAGAGGTATCTAACTGGTTCATTTTGTAAAAATGGGAATAATGTGAGTCTGGAGCAAGCAAAATAAAAAGTGCAACCTGTCAAAATAAGCACTAGGGTCAAAAGCACACTGGGTTCACATCGCTCCTTCTGCTGGCCTGGAACGAGGTATGGGAGTAGCTCTTTCTTTTCACTTCACATCAATCTCAGACTAACTTCAGCGGCTTTATCCAGGGCCCATGGGGAAAACTTTCATAATCAATGGTCTACCATGAACCCAAAGCAATGGCTCACGGCTGTTCAACAGTCAGCTGATCGTGTTCACATACCTCTGTATATCTCCAATGTTTCTTTGTTTGTTCTTATTTTTTGCTTGCAGCTTGGTTGCGACTGGATCAGATTTTCTGGAATTTGAGGGAGAAGCCAAGATACTTTCCTCATGGAAATTGTTCTTCAACAATAAAAAAAAGCATAAAAAGCAATCTTAAGAAGAACTTTATGATAAAATAAGCTATTAACTGGACTATTCAATTGAGAACCACCCCCGAAATTTTTCAGGAATTATATTTAAATGCTACACCTGCTTTGAAAAATACTGACCATGCAAAATTCAGTACAGCCAGCCCTCTAAACCCAATGGATTCAGTATCTTCCCATGGATTCAACCTCTTGCCTCAGCCTCCTGGTTTCTGGGATTACAGGTGTGCACCACCTGCCTGGCAAAATTTAAAATTTTTTTTGGTAAGGGATTTCATTATTATTATTTATTATCTCAGGTTTTCGTCTCTGTGGGAGGTCTTGGAATTAATTCCTGTTGGACCCTGGGGAATGACTGTAAAAGTGAAGTCCATTCACATTGGTCCAAATTAATTTTCAATATACATTATGAAGCACAACAGGCAGGCTAGCTGAGTGGTAATGCATGCCTATAACCCCGGCACTCGGGAGGCTGTGACAGGACGACCTCCTAGAGTGCAAGCCCAGCCTTGAAAGTCTGGGTAGCTTAGTTGATAGGAGCGATCACCCAGCATGTACAAGGCCCTAGGTTCAAGCCCCAGTACCACCGCCATCCTCCCAAAGTCTGTGCTTTAAGGGCATATCAATAAATATCACAAATACTTGTTGTAATCAGTCTTTCCTAATTTTTTTTTTTTTTACTCTATTGGGAAAGTTCAGATAATTGTTCATTATCACCAAACTTTCATATTTAACCAAAATTTATTCTACAATTTCAGGAAGTCTGCTCTTACAAGCCCATGTGGAAAGTGTAAGGATTGAACAACAGGTCTCTGAGAAACAGGGACAGATGATTCCAAAATCCTCTTCTTCAATGTATTTTCTTCCCTATTCCATTAGTTAATGCCTTTTATTTAATGTCCTAAGCATCTTTCTAAATGTATTTTTTTAATTGAGAAAAGAAAGAATATATACGAAAAGGCTAGCCCAGCCTGGGCACACACCTGTGATCCCAGTGCTCATGAGACTAAGGAAGTTTGAGGCCAGCCTGGGCTACATAGCAAGATCCTGTCTCAGAGGAGGAAGGGTGATACAACCCAAAATTTGAGTATATTTACTATGGCAAGCTTCTCAAAACTGAAAAAAAAAACAACCCTCAATTCTAGGTCTTCCTCATTTGGGTAAGCACATTTTAAGATCTCTATTGTCGGAAAGCAGAGAAATTGTATTCCGTCAACCCAGAAGGTCTCAGATGTCCTAGATACCTCTAGAGACTATACTCCTTGGATCCCAGACCAGAGATTAGAATTCAAAACATCAGGTTTTTGGGGGGGTTTTTTGGAACCAGGGATCAAACTCTGGACTTTGCGCTTGTGAGGCAGGTGCAGTGCCACTAAGCTAAATCCCCAGCATCAGCACATTTAGATACACAGCAGGGTTTGGATTTTGAAAGGATCCAAGGTGACCCCATCAAGTTCTTTTCAACTGCTGAGTTCCACTGTATCCTCTTTTTTTGGTACCACGGATCGAACTTGGGACCTTGTGTTTGCAAGGCAGGTGGTGGAATCACTGAGCTAAATCCCCAGCCTCCACTGTATCCTCTTTAAAAAAAAAAGAAAAAAAAAGGAGACATGGTCTATGTAGTTCAGGCTGACTCTGAACTCACCATGTAGCCCAGGCTGGCCCTAAACTTACAGTGATCCTCCCGACTCAGCCTCCCAAATGCCGGGATTATAGGTGCATGTCTCCATGCTCAGGATCCTTTAGTCGCAAAGCATGTGTTTTACCATCCTACCTTTTTCTCACAAGCAGCAATTTAATAAAAATATAATAAAATTCACTTAGATTATAAATTCACTTGGGCTGGGGATTTAGTTCAGCAGTTCTGCCATGTGCCTCACAAGCGCACATTCCCAAGTTCGAGCCCCGGTACCAAAAAATAAAAATCACTTATATTACTTAGGAATTAGGCTGGGAGTGCAGCTCAGTGGCAAAGTGCTCACCTGGCATATGTGAGTCCCTGGGTTCAATCCTCTGTATTAGAACAAAACCAAAAAGACAAAACAAAACACACACACACACACACACACACACACACACACACATAATCGAAGCAATAGGAATGCTAATACTTCAAAGTTCTCTGCTAAGACCTACAATATTAATGCTCAGCTTTCTTGCCAGCTCTTCGTCATTTTTCAGTTGTTCTTCCATCTCACTTCGCCTTCTTTCTGCTCGTCTCCTTTCCTCCTCCTCCTCCTCCTCCAGCAGTTTCTGTATGTATTCTTCACTGGCTTTGTTTTCCTCTTCCTCAATGGCTCGTCTCTCTGCCTCTACCTTAAAAATGATTAACAAAAGTTGATCCTTAACTTTTTCCTGCCCCCGCCCACGCAAACCCCTGGTACCAGGGATCGAACTCAGGACCTTGCATTTGGGAGAAAGGCACAGCACCACGGAGCTACATCCCTGGCCCTTATCCTTAACTTTACAAGGTACTTAAAACATTTTATAGAAGAATCAGAAAAGAGTCAGGTGTGGTGGCACCATCATCCCAGCACCCAGAAGGTTGAGACAGGAAGATCCAGGGTTGGAGGCCAGCCTGCACTACAAAGCAAGATCCTGCTTCAAAAAAGAATGAGGAAGAGTTTGCCAAAGAACTGTACCGAGTGGAGTAGGGTAACACATCCTTGCAAATCCAGCACTCTGGAAGGCTGAGGCAGTAGGACTGCAAGTTTAAGACCAGTTGGGCAACAAAATCAGACTTCTTCTCAAAATAAAATATGAAAAAAGTGCCACAGATGTAGCTCAGTACAAAAGCTTTGGGTTCAAGTGTCAAAGCAGTAACAATAAAACTTCTGTTAAGTTCTCTTGCTCTTAAAGCCACTGAAGACATGGCTGCCTCTTCTTCTGGATGGGTTTTATGTTTGTTTGCTGTTTTGGTTTTATTAGACAGGGTTTCCTATCTAGTTGAGGCTGGTCTTGAACTTACAATGTCCCTAGGCTGGCCTCAAACTCTCCATGATCCTCCTGCATCAGCCTCCCAAGTGCTGGATAACACACCTGCACCACTATGCCTGGCTCTTTTCACATGTTGGTGTGCATCTGGCTGAGGGTCAGAACAGCAGCCATCGTGCTATTGGCCTAAGGATACAGACATAGAAGTGCACAGAGAAGAGTTGGAGCTCCAAAAGAAACCATCCTGGAAACCTGCAACACCTCTGGAATTTGTCAATTGTTTTTTTTTTTTTTTTTCCTGCAGCAATGGCATTGAACCCAGGGCCTCTGCACTGAGATACATCCCCAACCCCCAACCTCCTTCTTTAGATTTTTGAGACAGAGTATTACTTAGCCACTAAATTTTCCAGGCTGGGCTTGAATTTGTAATTCTCCTGCCTCAGCTTCACAGAGCACTTGGATTAGAGCCACGGGCCACCAGCTCAGCTAATTTTTTTTACTGTTTGAGGTAGTTTTGAGTTAAATCTGTCCATTTCATGTTTGCAGAGCTGGAGATAGAACAGGACCTCACACATGCTAGGCAAGTCCTCTACCACTGAGCTACATCCCAGCCCACGGTTTCTTCTGCTTGTAGTCCAAAGCAACCTCTAGACCCTACCCTCACTGCGTGGTAATTAGGATAAATAATTTCTTTAAAACCCTCACTCAGGACACTGCCTGGACAACATGTTACAGTTTTGTTCTCTAACAGCTGTTTACTAAACTACATCCCTAGCTCTTTTAACTTTTCTTTCTTTTTTTGGTATCAGGGATTGAACTCGGGTCCTTGTGCTTGTGAGGCAGGCAACGGAATCACTGAGCTAAATCCCTGGCCCTCTTTCAAACTTTTCATTTAGAGACAGAATCTCACTAAATTGCTCAGCCTGGGTTCAAACTTGCTATTTTCCTGGCTCAGCCTCCTGAGTATCTGGGACTACAGACATGTGCCACCAGGGCCAGCCAAAAGGAGATAAGTGCCAATGAGATATAGGAGATATCATTTAAAAATGCTGAATGTTAAAGTAAAAAACAGTACTAATAATACAAAAGATTCTGAAGGCTATGATTTCCAAAAAAAGGGGGGAAATAAAACTTTAAAAAAGTAAAATCTGGACGGGATTTAGCTCAGTGGCACCGCGCCTGCCTCCCAAGTGCAAGTTCTGGAGTTCGATCCCTGGTACCAAAAAAGCCTGCAAACAAACAAATGTAAAATGTGAATTTTATTACATAACTTCCCCCAAATATTTCTATATTATTGTTCTTGGGAAATGAACAAAGGATTCTCACTCAAAAAAAATTATGCTTAACTACATTTAATTAAAATTATAATTTTATGTAAATTATATGGTAAGAGAACTCAAGCTATATTTAATAAAATACAGTATTAAAATTAAACTGACCTTTTATTTATTCATGTATTTGGTACCAGGGATCGAAATCAGGACCTTGCACTTACCAGGCAGGCAGTGGCACCGCTGAGCTAAATCCCTGGGCCTATGACCTTTTAAAAAATATCTTTTAAACCATGGGTATGAGTAGATTTAAAATTACACATGGACTTCTGTATATTTTACCGGGCCGCTCTACCTACACAAAGCCGGTAAGGAGCCCGGGTTCGTGTCCCGATGTCAGGCAAGCGGGAGGCTTCCGCTAAGCAGCAACTCCGCCCGGTCAGCGCCTCTGCTGGCCTGTGTGCTCCGCCCACCCACACCACACCCTTCCTGACCTTTCCAGCCTCTCAGCTCAAAGGGAAATGAGTCCTCCTTCACCACCACCCAGAAGAACCCAATTATGCAGAAGTAAACTCGAGCTCATTTACAAAGTGTATTAAAATGACTTGCACTTCAATACACACTAGTTCTGTACGTGCAGAAAACTATGTAAAATCTGAGATTGAAACAGCAGAGAAATTTCCCAAGCAAGAACAATTCCTCAGCACCTACCTTGCTTATCTCCTCTTCGTACTCTCTTCTCAGTTCCCCAGGCTGACTTAATAGACGAACTGGCTGACAGCCCTCATCTGTTTCACATCAGAAAAGAAAATACTGTATTAGACAAACAGAACCTTATATCTACGATTGAAAGCACTTTGATTTTATTTATTTATTTACTTATTTATTTATTTTTGGTACTGGGGATTGAACTCAGGACCTTGTGCTTACAAGACAGGTGCGGTGCCACTGAGCGAAATCCCCCTTAAAAGTACTTTAATATAAAAATATAAAACAAAAATAAACATACTATTATTAATAGCTATAGCAATAATAGCTTCTTATTGGGGGGGAGTTTGAGACAGAGAATCACTATGTAGCGGAGGCTGACTTGGAACTCACTATGTAGCCTACGCTGCTCTCGAACTCAGAGATCCTTCTGCCTCAGCTTCCCAAGTGCCAGGATTACAGGCTGCACCCCCACGCCCGGCAGTAACAGCTTCTTTTGAAATTCCTTTGTTTTGTAGTACTAGGGATGGACTGAACCAAGGGATGCTCTGCCAATGAGCTATATCCCCAGCATTTTTTTTTAAATTTTAAGACAAAATGTCACTAAATTGCCCAGTCTGGCCCTGAGCTTACAATCTTCCTGCCTCAGCTTCCAGCTTGAAATTCCATTTTAAAAGGAAAGAGGGTGGTTCCAAGTGGCACATGAATACATAAACTTAATCCTTCCTCTAGATCCACTTAAGTAACAGTAAAGGAATCTAGTAAAATGTGACCTTATACCAGTAAAGTGATTAGGAAAGGGGATCAAATTAATTTTTTCTTTTTTTTTTGGTGCCGGGGATTGAACTCAGGCCCTTGCATTTGTGAGGCAGGCGGTGGAACCACTGAGCCAAATCCCCATCTCTCAAATTAATTTTGAAAAAATGTAATTCATTATTTACTAACTGGGAAATCAGAGTCGCTGACCAGCAGGCTTCCTTCCTGTGCACGCGTTATTTCCATCCAGAAACCAGGGCCCAGGGAGAGATGGGGCAGTCAGCATCCATGGCAGTCAGCGCAGTCTTCAGCAAGCCGGCAATCACGTTTCTACCTTGGCCCCACACATGGCCTGCTGGTCCCCAGTACCCATGCACATGCACAGAGCTTTTCTCAGGGCTTTTGCTTTTCTAGCGGTAAGTGGTGCTGACCCTCAGGGAACTGTACCACCTAGCCACATTTCCAGGGCCTCATTGAGTTGCCCAGGCTGGCCTGGGACTTGCCATCTTTCTGCCTCAGCCTCTCAAGTAGCTGGGATTATAGATGTATAGCATCAAGTCCAGCTACGGCCTTATTTAAAAAATGTGAACCCCAGGTGTGGTGGCGCTCGCCTATAATCCAAGCACTCAGGAGGCTGAGGCAGGAGGATTGCCGGAGTTCTAGGCCAGCCTAAGCTGCAGAGTGAGCTCAGGGCCAGCCTGAACTATAAAGCGAGACCCTGTCTCAAAAAAGCCTAAATAATAAGTAAATAAATAAAATAAAAATATGAATCTCCCGAAAAGAAAAAAACCAAAAACATAAAAATATGAAACTTAATTATGATCACCAGACAACTGAAATAAATCTATACGATTAAACAGAAACACTGAACTATAGAAAAGAGATTGTGTGTGTGACCTCACCCTAGAGTTACACCTGCAATCCCAGCTACTCAGGAGGCTGAGGCAGGAGGATACAGTTGACTATTGCCAGGAAACTCAGGCCTATTGCTGCCCTTTATTGGGGGGGCTTTCTCATGAAAATCCAGAAATGCAGAGCTTAATATGAACACTTCTAATTTCTTTTTCTTTCCCCAGTGCCGGGGATCAAACTCAGGACCCTGTACTTGCCAGGCAGATTTGGCTCCACTGAGCTACATCCCGGCTGAACACTTCTAATTTCAACACTGCTGCTGCCTGACTTACAGAAGATGTCCAGGCTTACCCAGCCAGTAGTTCACAAACTCTGTTAAACAGGAACTAAAAACCGTCAAAACTGTGTAACAGACTGGAATGAAGCAGCCAAACTCTCCATTTAGCTAGCAAGGATGATCCATCCGAGCCAGAGAAGATAAGAAACCAAAGAATAAGATTCCTTACGACTAAGCTTTTGTCCGGAGGGAGGAAAAGGGCAGTAAGGAGGGGGATGGGATAAAAATATCATTTATTAAAATTTTTTTCTTAAAGGAGAGAGGCCCTGGATTTGATCCTCAGTACAAGGAAACAAAACGGAGGGCTGAACAGAAAGGATGCTTAGGCAGACGGAGACGGCACTTCCAGGGGGAGGAGGGCTACAAGCAGAGCAGTTCTTCACCAGACACAGTATCAGGGCTTGGCAGGCCCTGCTGGTAAAGGGTGAGGCAGCAGTGCCTGACGGTCTGTGGGCTATGCAGTCTGTCAAACCCACTCAGTGCTGACCGGGACGTAGCTCAGTGGTACCGCGCCTGCCCGGCAAGTGCAAGATCCTGAATTCAATTCCTGGTACTGGGGGCAAAGAAAACCACTCAGTTCTGCCACTGTGGCACAAAAGTACCCACAGACAAGAGTTAAGAAATCAATACCCAGAACAAAGAACTCATTCCAGGCAGGGTAGCACACGCCTGGGATCCAAGCACTTGGGAGACCAAGGCAGGAATATTGCTAGTTCAAGTCAAGGCCAGCCTGAGCTATATTGCAAGACGTTGACGCTAAAAACAGAACAAAAGCAAAAACAAAAAATGGGCCAGGCTTGATAGTATGTGGCTGTAGTCCCAGTGCTCTGGAAGGCTGAGTCAGGAGGACCTCAAGTTAGAGTTCAGTCTGGATAGCTTGGTGACTTAGCAAGACCCTGATTCAAAATTTAAAAAAAAGGCCAGGGATTTAGCTCAGTGGTGCTGCTGCCTGTCTGGCAAGCGCAAGATCCCAGGTTCAATCCCCGAACCAATAAATAAATACATACATACATAAATAAAATTTTAAAAAGGACTGGGAAGCCAGGCATGGCGGTACACATCTGTAATCCCAGCACTTGGGAGGCTGAGGCAGGAGGAACACTGTGAGTTTGAGACCAGCCTGGGCTACATAGTGAGTTCCAAGAGGAGGAACACTGTGAGTTTGAGACCAGCCTGGGCTACATAGTGAGTTCCATGTCAGTCTCGACTACATAGTGAGACCCTTCTCAAAAAACAAACAACAACAACAACCAAAACAATAGCAAAACAAAAACAAAGAAAGGATTTATGGGACTTGGCTCCAAAGATGACAAACAAGTGGTCAATAAGCACAGGAAGATACACTCAACATCACTAGTCAGGAGGGAACTGCAAGTGAAAGCCAGAGACACGTCACGCCCTTTAGATGATGACTATTACTGAAAAGCAAACACATAGACATGTGGGAAAAGATGCAGAGCAATCGCAATCCTGTACACTGCTGGGGAGTGGGGTGCAACTGTGAGGCTGCTATAGAAACAGCACTGACAGTGGGAGCTCCTAAAACAATTAAACCTAGGGCTACACTTGACCCAGGACCTCCACTTCCAGATACACATCCAAAGGAACTGCAAGCAGGAGTTAAACAGATGCCAACGTGATTCACAACAGCTAAGTGTCAATGGATGGAGAAACAAAAGTGATGGGTATGCACAGTGGAATATTACTGAGCCATAAAAAGGAACAAAACTCTGATACATGCTAGAATGTAGAGGAATCTTGAAGACATGCTAAGTGAAACAGACATAAAGGGACAAATACAATATGATTCCATGTTCTGAAGTGCTAGGAACTGGACCCAGGCTCATGCTATGCAAGCAATCGACCACTGAGCTACATTCCCAGTCAAAAATCAAGTTTTACAGACTGAAAATGACTCAGTCCATTGCTTGCCATCTGTTGGAAACAACTCTCAATATTGCTCAACTCCGGTTAAAGCTAAAATTGCTTCCGTCAGCCACTTACATTATTTTCACTTCCTGCAGCAAGTACTGTGCCCAGGCAGCCAGGATATTAAAAGAAATACATCTTGGGCCAGGGAATTAGCTCAGTGGTGCCACCGCCCGCCTTGCAAACACAAGGTCCCAGAGTTCAATCCCTGGTACAAAAAAAAGGAAAGAAAGAAAGATATCTCCATACCTTGATTTTATTCTGAATGGAAAATCCAAATTAGTTTAAACACTGTCCAATACTACTGGGCATGGTGGACATTCCTGTAATTCTAGCACTCAAGAGGCTGGGGCAGGAGGATTGTTGCCAGTTCTAGGCCAGCCCGAACTATATAGGGAGACTGTCTCAAAAAAAAAAAAAAAAAAAAAAAAAATCCAATACTAGATGAGAAATAAAAAAGTGACTAAAGCCAGGTGTGGTGGTACACACTTGTAATCCCAGCACTCAGGAGGCTGAGGCAGGAGGATTGCTGTGAGTTCTCGACCAGCCTGGGCTATATAGTGAGTTCCAGGTCAGTCTCAACTACACAGTGAGACCCTGTCTCAAAAAACCAAACCAAACCAAACCAAACAAAAAAAGACTAAAGCTCAGCTTGAACATTAAGCCATTCATAATATCATTTTGTCCCCTAACTTGACTCTCTGCTGTGTCACCACAGAAATGAATTTCCTTCTGATTAAATTTGCTTTCCCTACCCCGTCTTTTTTTGGGCAGTGCTGAGGATCAAACCCAGGTGTGCTCTACCACTAAACTATATCCCCAACCTTTTAAAAAACATTTACATTTTACTACATCTTTTACTTTTGTTTTTTGTTTTGTTTTGGTTTCTTGTTTTGTGGTACCGGGGATCGAACTTGGGACCTTGCACTTGCAAGGCAGGCAATGGCACCACTGAACTAAATCCCTGGCCCTGGTTTTGGTTTCTAACAGTCTCACTTTGAAGTTCAGGCTGATCTTGAATCACTATGTAACCCAGCCTGGCCTCAAACTCATGGTGATTCTCCTGCCTTAGCCTCCTGAGTGCTGGGATTATGGACCTGTCCCCCATGCCTGGCCATCTTTTTTCATATTTATATTTTACTGTTTTTGTTATATATACACACACATATATATCCATGTATATATAATATATATAGCTTTCTTATA